GAAATAAACCAAGACAAAGGAAACTGAAAGGTCTAAAGCCTGGATCAAAGCCTGTTTAGAAAACAAAAATTTTCTAAAAAGTTTTCAAGAACTTTTCTAAAACTATGAGATGCGCCCAGCAAATGGGCACATTTAAAACACAAGATGCTGGCACATCTTGATATAAATTATGAGGAAAACATTAAAATGTTTCTTGTTTGGCTACAAGTAAAACAATGTCCAGTGGTTGAATCTTAACTAAGAAAAATAATTTTCTGTGTGTGTGTTTTGAACTCTTATGACTCACAGAACAGATCTGGAGGAGAACTTATGTAAGTGCTTTGTGGATTTCTTGGTTTTTGATGTTTAACAAAAATGCAGGACTTTTCCACAAATATCTTGACTGACAAGAGACAGAATTATTGAATTTGATTTTGCCACTGCTGGGGTTTTTTTAGGAAAAAAGAGAAAAAAGGTGCACAGTGGAATGAGGTGGATGAAATAAAAACAAAAACCAGATCCATACATATCCATCAGGGTTAGCAAAACCAACCCTTCACCTGCTCAAGGAGTTATCCTGTGGCTTCCTTTTGCTGTCTTCACAGCCACACAAGCTCAGGGATGCACCCTCCAGAAAAGAGGAGATTTTCTCACCCTTTCTCTCCTAAGGGCTGCTTCTCCGCACTGCTGCAATTGTACACGAAGAGACTTTCGTCACTGCAAGGAAAAACAAACCCAAAATTACTGGCACTAGAACAACCATGCTTAACTATGGAGTGGCAAATCTTTTGTAAAACTCTCTTATTTTAGTTACTGGGCACAACTGCCCCCCATCTTAGAACCACCTCTGCCCAAGAGTGCTACAGCTGTGGCAAAATAAAATTTTGGATGGTATGCATGTGTCAAAAAGGAAATCCTCCCTTGCTGGTGAAGTAACCCTGCATTTTGCATAAACTGCATTTCTGTCAGACTCAGCACATCTGCCAGCAGCATTTACCCAGTCACAGAAGCACAGAATGTTCAGGCTGGAAGGGACCACAGTGGGTCACCAGGTCCAACCCCCTGCTCCAGCAGGATCCCAGAGCATACAGCACAGGATTGTGTCCAGATGGTTCTGGAGTATCTTTAGAGAGAGAGACTCCACAGCCTCTCTGGACAATGTCATCCAGTGCTCAGTGGGAAGAAGTTTTTCCTCATGTTCAGGTGGAACTTTTTGGGAATCAGTTTCTGCCCCTTGCCTCTTGTCCCACTGCTGGGCATCATGGAGCAGAGCCTGCCCATCCTCTGACACCTCCCTTTGGACATCACACAGAACCTCAGAATCATCTGGGCTGGAAAGCACCTCTGGAGATCACTCATTGACCTCTGGAGATCACCCAGTCCAACCCCCTGCCCAGGCAAGGCCCCCTGGAACAGTGACACAGGGATGGCTCTGGATTGTCACCAGAAAGGGAGACTCCACACCCTCCCTGGGCAGCTGTTCCAGAGCTCTGCCACCTCCATGGAAAGAAATTCTTCCTTCTGTTGAGGTAGAACTTCTGGTGTTTTATTTTATGACCATTGTTCCTCACTCTCTCACTGGGCAACAGATGGAAAGAGTCTGGCACCATCCTTTTGGCACCCACCTTGGAGATATTTACATGCACCTTCCTTATGGACATAAAATAGACCATTTATTATATATGCATATATATGTGTGTATATATATATACAAAATAATATTGTATACATTCTAGTCATTTATAGTTTTATGTATAATGCATGCTTTATGTATAATAATAGTTTTATGCATAATAATGTGGTTTTATGTATAATAATGTAGTTTTATATATAATAATGTAGTTTTATGTATATTATATGCTTTGTATAAGTTATGCACATGTACACACTATGTTACATATATATAATATATATGCATATATATGTGTGGTGTACACATATTTATAAAATATATATGTATATACATGTGTGCGTACACATATATAGAGGGTGAGTGAATATCTATATATAAAATAATATTGTATACATTCTAGGCATTTATAGTTTTATGTATAATGCATGTTTTATGTATAATAATACAGTTTTATGCATAAAAATGTAGTTTTACATATATTAATGTAGTTTTATGTAAAATAATATAAGCTTTCTATAAGTTATGTACACATACACATATACACTATGTGATATATATAATATATATGCATATATGTGTGTGTAAATACATATATATATAGGGTGTGTGTATATTTATATATAAAATAATATTGTGTACATTCTAGGCATTTATAGTTTTAGATATAATGCATGTTTTATGCATAATAATGTGGTTTTATGCATAATAATATATGCTTTCTATAAGTTATGTACACATATACACTATGTCATATATATGTATATATGTGTGGGTGTACATATATATATATAAAATAATATTGTACACATTCTAGGCATGGATAGTTTTAGGTATAATGCATGTTTTATGTATAATAATATATTATATGCATAATAATGTCATTTTATGTATATCAATATATGCTTTCTATAAGTTATGCACATCTATACACTATGGTATATATAACATATATATGTGTGTATACATATATATAGGGTATATATATATAAAAAGTAATATTGTATACATTCTAGGCATTATTATTATACATAAAACGTATGCGTGTTTTATGTATAATAATATGGTTTTATGCATAAAAATGTGGGTTTATGTATAATAAAATATGTTTTATGTATACTAATATATGCTTTCTATAAGCCATGTACACATATACAGTATGTTATATACCCATAACATACATGTATATTTGCGTATCTATATATATATGCATATATACATAGACATATAATGTATATATAGGGTATGTGTATATCTGTATGTTCTCTATGCTACCGTTTACCTGGGGAAGCAAACCGTGACAGAAAGCCGCCAAGGCTAGAAAGTTTAAAAGTGCTGTTTCTGTACCGGCAAACGCTGCCGAGGAGCTGGGACAGGCACGAACCGCAGCCGGGCCAGCGGCTCCCGCACGGCCCCAGCACCTCCCTCAGCCCACACGGGCCCTGCGAGCCCCCTCAGGGGGCACGGGGCGGCCTCTGCCGCTCGGACTCGCCCGGCCCCCCCGCTTCCCGCGCTGTCCCGGCCCCGCACGCCCCGCACTGACCCGCCGTGGCCGGGCCGCGTCGCCAGCAGCCGCCCCCCGCCGCTCGCCACCGCCAGGGCCCCGCGCAGCGCCAGCGCCGGCCGGGCCCCGGGGCTGCGCCCGCCGCCATCGCCGCCCGCCATGCGCTCGCGCCGCCACGCGCGCAATTGCGTCACCGCGCACCGCCGTGACGTCATCCCGCGCCGGCCCCGCCCACCCTGAGGACGCGGGGGCGCCGTGAGGGCTCCGGGCAAGATGGCGGCGGCCGCGGCGCTGAGGGGCGGCGGGAGGGCGGTGAGCCGCAAGGTAAAGGGGCTCCTCCCGGAGAGTTCCTGCCCCCGCACCCCCTCAGCTGTCGGGATTTCCTCCCGCTCTGTTAACTCGTGTTATGTTGTACCGTGCAGGTGCTGCAGCTGGAGGCGCGGGGGCTTTGCACGAAGCCGGTGGGCACCGGGATGGCGCCGCCGCCGCCAAAGAGTAAGAGAGAGGGGTTTGTGTGTGAGAGGTATCGGGGTGTCAGTAAAAGGAAAGGTGAGGAGAGCTGGGCAAGGTCAGGCCTCGGAAGAGGCCCTGCATAAGCTGGGAAGAACAAGGGCTGAAAGGTCACCGCCATGTAAACGAGGGTGTCTGATAAAATGTACCGTGTAAGTAATAAAGGTAAAAGTCAAGGTCTGGCTGTGTGGAGTATATTTATAAGCCATATATATATACATATTATATATATGTATACACACACACACATATATACGTGTATAATTTTATAGTTATGAGTTTTATATTTATGAGTTTGTCACTTCTTTCCTGTTTACCTTCTCCTTAATATTCAAGGCCAGGCTGGAAAGGGCAGTGTCAGACTGTTCAGTGTGTACGTCAAACTGAAAGAAATTAGGTTTAGATCAGACATCAGGAAAAAATTCTTTACTGTGAGAGTAAAATGAGCACAGGTTGCCCAGAGAAGCTGCGGATGCCCCATCCCTGGAAGTGTTTTTAATGAGGTGTAAAGTGTAGTTTTTAACTTTAGATGTTTGTCCTTGTCCATTGAAGTGTTTGTGTTATCAGGCTTAAAAAATAGAAGGACTTAGAGAAGGAGTTCCAAAATCCAAATATCCCAAATAGCAGCTCCAGGCAGCAGTGTAAGAAGCTGCCATGGCCCTGTGTGTTAAATTTGGTTATAATGCTTCTTGCCCCATGGATCTGCAAGGCTGAACCTTGGTTTGGAGGAGTTGCATTGAGGAGTATTTGAGCCCCTTTTATCCCTGAGTCAGAGCACGAATACAAATTTCAGAGGCTGATGTTTTGTTTGTATGAAGGAGGCTCAGTGGTTCAGTGAGGTTTCCTGTCCCAAATTAGAGATCCAGGTGCTGAAACAGGAAAGCTCCATGAACCACATGTAGGAGTGATCAGACTTGTTGCCTGCTGTTGCAAAGATCACTGAAAGAGCAGCTGAAGGCAGACTTCTGCCACCTCCTTAAATGCCAAAGCAAATAAAAACCTGGCTGTTCCATTAAGAGAGCCTTCACTGCATAGATTGATTGGCCAACAAATTGCTTTTCATTATGATTTATTTTTTGCATTAAGTGTGTTTGAGATGCACTTTGGTATCAGTTTCTGGATTCACTGTCCTGCAGCTCTGATTGGTGTCAGGTGCCCTCTCAGGCCAGCAGCTCCCCCTGCAAACACTCCAGGTTAATTAGGATGTACAGAATTAAGGTGTAAAGGATGCAGCTGCCTTTGCCAGACTCTGACTGGAACAGGATGTGCACATTTTCCTTGCTTTGATAAGATGGTTGTGTTTACACACAGAATCAATGATGGGAAATAGAGCTGTGGTTTCTGCCTGTCACCTCTGAGTGTGAGCAGCCTTTAGGTACCTGCTGGGGATGGTGCAGGAGGAGCACATGGGAATGCTGTTGTGTGACTGATCTGGGGCTGTTGTTCTTTTGGCATGGTGATGCAGGTACAGGTTAGCTGGTGCAAAGTTTGAAATACCCTAATTAAAGTGGATCAGTTGTGTTGGATCTTTCAGCTTTTAATCATCAAATCTTTTTCACTTATCCAAACTGAACTGTTTAAAGTATTATCCCAGTAACTAATGGTCAAGTTGAATTTTCCTTGCTTACTTGGTTTCTTAGGATGTTTTAACATTAATACTTCTTCAGGTTTTGCTCAGCTTTCCCTTTTCTGTCCTTCCTTTGCCATCCTTGTGTTAGTTTAACCTCTTCAGTGCCTCTCTGAGGAGCTCTTCCATCCTGAGTGATCTTCCTCCTCACGTGTTAGTTTTTCCAGGCTGCTGTTTGGCTGGGTCAGGGAGTCAGACCTGTTCCAAAGGTGGCTGCCCATCCTCCTGCCTCCCCCTGCCCTTCCTTCCTTCCCATCCTGCACCTTCCATCTGGCAGAGAGAAGTATGTGCTTGAAATTATTCCAAATACTACCTGTAAACTTGATACCTTCTTTTACTGTGTTTTGTTATGATAAATCTTTGCATTTCTTTCCTAAATACTTTGCTTTTATTTCTATGTGCTTGTCTCTTTCATTTAGACATTGCTAGACTTGCTTCTGTTCAGAACTAATGGTAATAACTCTTTGAATCATACAAGGTATTACCACACAATACCAGTGAGGGGAAAGCTGTGTTTGGTTTATGGGCATATAAAGTAGATCTGGATTTCCAAACTCTGCAGAAAAATCTGCACAATGGGCTGGAATTTGTTGAATTTTGCTGCTGGTTGGAAGTGGTGCAACTTGTAGTGGAGTTGGCTTTGCTGTGGCCAATTTCAGTCATGGAGAATCTTCTCAGTGTGCTCCCAGCCCTCCTTCACCTCCTGTTTTCTGTAACCACAACAGTGTTTGCTGTTGCTCAGCCTCCTGAGGATGATGATAAGCATCCAAGGGATATTATGTATTCCCTGAAAGGACCTGAAAATTGCTGCTTTCTCCTTCAAGTGTTGGTTCCTTGTTTGGAGGGTTTAGTTTAGTGCAGGTATCCATGAGGGAGAAGAAACTTGAGGCAGAAACAAACGTGGAGCATCAGGAGATCTTCTGTGAGCCCTGTAACAAAGGTCTCAAAGCAGCAATAGGGAGTGAGGCCTGGAGGAGATGAGGGCTTGGGGAGATGGTGTTGAGCTGTGGGGGCAGCTCATGGGGCAGTGAACAAGGAACATTTTCATGGATGGCCTCAGTGTCTCTCACTCTGCTGCTTTTCCTTTTGGGCCTCATTCCTGCCCCTGCTCCCAGGGTAACTCCTGCAAGCAGCTCTGGCTGTGTCTGTGTCTCCTCACTGTCTCTGCTTCGCTGGCTTGTTCACAGACCAGGGCTGTCTCTGCAGCATTGAAGAGCTGGGCTGAGCCATCCTAATGCTCACCTGGGATAGGGAAGTGTCTGCAGGCCTTTTCCAGTGCTGCAGAGTTGAGGCACAGGGAAAACCAGCTCTTGGTAAAGCCTGGCTTTGCTCTGGCAAAGTGAGGAACACAAGAGTTTGTCTCTTGAGTTTCGGCATCGCAGCAGCAAAAACTGTTCCGTGCTATTAGAACTCCAGTTCCCTTAGCTTAAAAAGTCTAAAAACTTTCTGCTTTGCAATGCCTGTATTTAGCATTATAATTACTTTCAGTTTATTTTAGTAGCAGATTATGTCTGAAAGTTAAAACTGTGACTAAGATCAGTGCTAGTGATGTCAGAGCCAATGATGATAATCCTCTTTATGCCGTTTCCTAGATGTAGCGGCACCACAGGGGAGCACCAAGCTGCTTGCCATGAAGGCACCAGTTGAATTTCGTAAAATGTTGTCTTCCAGCTCTCTCCTGCTGTCTGCAGACAAAGGTGAGAGCAGTTCTAGTACCACCCTCAAGGAAGCTGCAGAATCTGCTGAAGACACGAGGATGCCCAAGCCAAGAAAAACTCAGGTTGCGTTTCCGCAGCGAGGAGTTGTTTCCTCCCGTGAGGGGGAAAAGCTCAGCACACCTGCAAGAGGAGGAGGCCTGAGGAAAAAGTTAGCTGAGAAACAGTCTTCATCTTCATCCAGTTCAGATTCTAGCTCAGATTCTGAGGATGAAAGTGTTGGTGATTCAAAAGTTGCCACTAAAACTAAAGTTGAGTTTCCCAGACGAGATCCCATCTTTTCTGAGAATATAGCAGCAAAGGCATCCATGCTGGCAAAAGAGAAATTGTCCCAGAAATCCCTCAAAGAATATGGAATTAAGAAGCTGCCACGCAAACCAGAAATTGACGTCTCTCCTGTTAAGCAGATCAACTTTTCTAAAACATCAGTCAGCCAGGAAACATCAAAACCCAAAGCAAGAGACCCCAAAGTAAAATCCCCTCCAAAAGAACAGAAGCTGGGCTTAGAACCACACGTGCTGAAAAGTCGGGGCCTCAGCGATGTCACTGCTAAATCTGATCTTGTGGAGGGAAAGTCCACTAGACTGAAAGCCTCAGCAGTGACTCAGGAAGACAAAAAGCAAGATCTGCTCTCCAGAGGAGAGAAGGAAAAGATGAAGGAGGCACAGAAGTTGGAAGCAAAAGAAGTGACTGCTCCTAAAGTGGAAGAGACTTCTGGAAGCAGAACGTTGGTGATGGGCACCACAGCAAAGGAGGAGACCACGCAGGAAGGAGCCCAGGCTGGAGAAGGCAGCACAACAGAGGGTACAGCTTTCAATTGTTTGAACTCTATTGGTTCATCTGGGCTAGGGTTTGGCTTTTTTAAAGGGTTTCTACATCTTCTCTGATCTTTCTGCTGAAGCTGGCAGAGTGGCAGTGACTCTCTGGAAGATAAATTGTTCACTGCTAATTGTTATGAGCTGTCAGTAATACTCAGTCTCCAGCTATGCTGGGAAAGGAAGTGGTTTCATTTCTCTGTATTTATAGTTTCACAAAACAGTTACTTATAAAATGGAAACAAGATTGTTTCCACTGTGAGCACAATCATGGGTTTATATGACAACACTTGTTTTCATTCTCCTCTTTTCTTGGAAGGCTTTGGTGGCTGCCATTCTCATGAGTCAAATTTGGTGCCATCTCATTGTTGCTTAAACCCTGCCATCTTTCTGGTTTTGTTTTGGGTTTCTTTGGGTTTTGTTTTGATGGGTTTTTTCCCAAGCTGTCAATGGTTCAGATTTCAGAAGACTTCGAGAAATTATAGTGTAATGCCAGAAACAGGCACTGCTGATTGTGAGCCTGGAAGGTTGCAAAAGCAGCTCGTGTGGAAGTAGTGAGTCAGTGTTGGAGGAGCCAGGGCTGTGTTTTCAGGAAAGACCATCACACAATCACCTCCTCAGCTGTGCTTCCCTGTCTGACCTACCCTTCTTATTCACTGCTGTCCTGTTCATTGATGCTCCTGCTGATCTCATTGTGTGTATCTGAGTAGCAGATGTCTCTCTGTCCTGATCTGTTGAAATTCTGCTTTTCATCCTAGGCAATATAAATCTGCCATTCTTGAGACCCCCATTCTCATTGCTACTTTGAATTAAAGAATTTGCCTGCTGGAAGTAAAAGCAGCATTACTTTAAGGTTGCTTGGGTATCACCCTTCAGGAAAGGCTGTGGGGGCCAGGGGAACAGCAGTGGGCCAGGAATGTGCCCTTGCAGCAGAGGCCACCAGGGGTGAGCTGGGAGCAGGCTGAGGGAGCTGCAGCTCCTGCTGAGGTGCCCTGGGGGTGCAGTGTTCACTGTGGGGCTCCCCAGTGCAAGGGAGATGTGGGAATGCTGGACAGAGACCAGCAAAGTGCCACTGAGTGATGGAGGGGCTGGAGAATCTCTCCTGAGGGGAAAGTCTGAGAGAGCTGGGACTGTCCTGCCCAGAAAAGAGAAGGTTTAGACAGATATGGAAATAACATATATATGGAAGTAACAGAAGGGGAGTGCAGAGATGACAGAGCTGAGGCTTTTCAGTGATGCACAGTGGTGGGACAAGAAGCAGTGGGTACAAACTGAAACACAGGGTTTTGCCTGAACATCAGTAAACACTTATATTCCTGTGAGTGATGGAGCACTGCCCAGGTTGCACAGAGAGGTGGTGGGGTCTCCATCCTTTGAGACACTCCAGATCTCTCTGGGCAGGGCCCTGGGCTCCTGCTGTAGCTGACCCTGCCTGAGCATTTGGGGTTGGCCCAGCTGACCTACAGAGGTGTCCTCCAACCTCAGCCATTCTGTGACTCTGAAGTGCCTGACCAGGTTAAGGGACAATGTAATTGCATTTCTGTGTCAGCTTCCAGGAGATGGTGCTGAGTAAAAGGCCTGCCTTCTGTTTCAGGGGTCAGTTTGCTCATCATTTCATCTGTTTCCTTTCCTTTTTCCTTGATGGCAGCTCAGATGACTGAAACTGGCACTCTGTGCTGGACTCAGTCCTGGAGGTCTTTTCCAACCTAAATAATTCTTCAATTTAAAAACCAAAATGCAGCACTGGTGGCAAATGATATTTTGATTTGCTTGTTCCTTCTTGCAGTCAACAGCATAAGCTTTCTTGTGAAAATAACAAAAATTTGGGGAGGGCTCTTTGTTTTATCTACAGATGATGCTTTTCTCACCATTCATCCACAGTGAAGTTCTAGATGCTCAAAACATTTTTCTTTTCTCCAGATGTATCTTGTTCTCTCTTCCTTCTTTGAGAGCAGCCACTGCTTTTCCTTGTTGAACATTCACAGCTGACTGTACCACTGTCACTCCTACTTCTGTCCTGCCCCTGTGTCCTTAACTCTGCAAACTCTGCAGCAGCCACACAAAATATGTAAAAAGAGTTTTTCTCAGTGCAAACCTGGATGTTGAGGTGATGTCATCCCTTTGAGAGCAGTCAGCAAAAACTGCTGCCTTGAACTGCTGAGTGAGGAGCAAAGCTGTAGCTGGGAGCTCAGGAATAGACCTGTGATTCATTTCAGAAGAGCATCCCAAGAAGTGCTTGCTCCATAGGAGACAAAGCAGAGATGAAGGATGAAGTGAGGGGAGGGTGAACTCAGGAATAAATTTTTCCTTGAGAATCCAAGTGCAGTGTGTTTGGGCAGGAAGAATGAGGCTCCATCTGCCTCCCTTCCTGCACATCTGTCTGAATTTGGATCTGGCTCTTGCAGGTTGAGCTGCCCTTGCCTCCCCCTGCCTGTTCCTGGGGCTCTCTGCAGCACAGAGCATCATCTGCCTTTTCTCCCTGATCTCCTGTGAGCTGTGTCAGGAGAGCTGAGCAGCAGCACAGGGATATTTCCTGTCATGGTTTGCTGGAACCATCACTTACTACCTTGAGTTTTATAAGCAAGCCTTGCTAAATGCTACAGATAAATCTTTTAATCTGCTAGCTTCACACTGCAGTAATTGTGTCATGAGTAAAGGGAAATCCTGGTGTTCAAGTTCTTGTATTTTAATTTAGATGGACCTGTTAAAATAAGGGCTTAATACAATCTAACCTGAGCCACCACACACAAATTTATACAGCAAAGCTTTTCACTACACTGTGTGTCTTCTTCTGTTGTTAAAACTCTGGGTATACAAGAGTAAATTAATACTGGGAGTAAAGTTTTATTTCTTGCAATTTGCTTGGTTGTAAAATCAGCCTGTGTAAGAACCTTTTATGTAAATGATACTGCCTAGATCTGCATAATATTCCAAAAGTACAATAATTAATGTTGGCTTTAGAGGAAGTAATGAGTTCTAAACAACTTTATTTGGTTATTATTTTTTGAAGGAGAGTTAATACAAAGGTTAGAAGATTATATTTACAAGAAAAGAAATTTACATCAAAGGCTCTTGATAGATTACTGTTTGGTATAACCACATTTGAAATTAAATGGTGGAGATCTTGCTAATGCTAGTGCTTCTCCCCATGGCAAAAATTCAATCTGTAAAGCAGCTCTGGGAGTTGTATCTCGTGGTCTGACAGGATGATACATCATTTGTACTGCTCCTTTGCCCCTTCTGGTTTGCTAAGAATGTCACCTACTGTTCTGGCTGGACTGAAAACCAAGGCAAAGATGAGAAAGCCAGGAAATGCAGCCATATGTCTGCCAGAGATAAATGGAATGTTCTGCCCTGTGCACCCCCAGCACTGGGTGGTGGTTTGGGTTTAAAACCTGTCTGAGATGCCTTGTGCTGATCCTGTTCCCCACTGTATGTGCTGCTTCAGGCACCAGCTGGACTTGGTAAACTTCTCCTTTTCTTCAAGTTGCTGACTTCTTTTTCTTTCAATTACTGACTGGATGAGGGATCTGACAATTTATTAAGGCTGACTCAGGGCTTAAAAACATTGTCCTCTGGTGTGACACCCTCATAGTCACCATAGTCACTGTTTGTTTTCACAGAGCCAGCTCAGCCTGCTCCAGAGGAGGAATGGGACAATTCCACCTACAAGAACCTGCAGCACCACGACTACCACACGTTCACCTTCCACGATTATGTTGCCATCCTTGCAAAGTACAGGCAGCCTCAGCCATCCTCTGGAAGACCATCCCCAAGGCACTGAGACAGCCACACCTACAGCAAACACCCAGGCAGGATGGGGAATTGTTCTGTTTAGCACTGTTGCTTCATCTGTATCATTGAAATCAGATAATAAATAATAATAAAGGCTTAATAACTTGGGCTTTTGAACAGTTCTTCCTGGCTGTTGGAGTCCCTCACTTCTTGACTTTTATGAGTGAACTGCAAATGAATCATCACTGAATAAAAGTATCTTTTCTACCTCTCCATATATATTATTTGGTGATAGTGTAAAAAAGTCTTTTTGACTTTTCAGTGTCTCCAAACTTTGGATAGTGATCATTCTTACAGGACCACATCAAAGATTGCTGTGGGGTTCAACTCCTGTTTCATTTGCTGTCCCTGTACTGCAGTGGGCTGTGCTCCCTGCACACAAATGTGCTCCCAGCTCTGAAGGGGTAATGTTTACTCTGGATTTGGGAGTTAAAATCATTGGCTGGGAGCAGCACAAGAAGTGTTTGTCTCCTGTGGCAAGAGTGAATGTTTTGTGTTAGTGGAGGAATGCAAGTTTATGTAATGTGATTGAAACATCTCAAAACCTCTGCTCTTGTAAAGGGAGAACAGAACATACAACTTTATTTAATCATCTGTTGGGGGCTCCAGCAGTAATTGAAATAATTTTAAATGTATGAGAATCTCAGTGGGCAGTTCCTAATAGACTTTTACTGTGTTGATTAAACTTGGAGGAAAAAACCTATTTCTATGGATAGAAACACTTGAACTATTATTTTTAAATGTGATGAAAACACCATAAGGGTAAAAACAGCTCCTGGTACTAATTGTTGGGAGTATGTTTAATTTCCCACTTCTTTTTTTCGCCACACTAAAAGTTCAAATTGCTGTCCAACCTCAGTCTTGCTCTGCAGCAAATGTGAGCCATGAGGCCCTTCTCAGTGCACGTTATCAGCAGTCACAGTTGGTCTCAGTAAATTCTGTGTTTCCATCCTATTAGTAACACTCTTCTGCCTTCTGGGAAAATGGCCTTGATGGCCGCCAGCTGTTGTGGGTTTAGTTCCATTTTGGCTTCTTGTTCATTTTGGGCTTTTTTGGAGTTAATTGGCCTTTAAGCAGTTCTTGCAATAACTCCAGCATTTTCCATCACCTCTCTGTATTCTTTCAAGCAACAGACCAGGCAAGATCAAAGGGAAAACAGAGTCAGCTTTAGGAGTCTATCTGGATATTGGATGTGAATCCCTGGGTGCAATTAGTAGAGCAGATATTTTATACTGTAACTTGGCAAAAATGTGGTAAGAAGGATCAAGAGGCCTACATCAATTTGCTGTGCAGAATTTTAAGTCAGAAACCCCTGGCAAGCAATTTTATTGTCCTGTAAAAAATAAAGAGCATGTTAGTGACTCCAACTGAAATTTAGAAATCTGTTAATGTATAAATCCACGTGCTGAGGAATGAAGAGCAGAAAGTCACTTGGAGACACCAATGGTCCCATGTACTCTGTACTTGTAAAAGGGAGAGAAATTTGCTGCTAGCATTAAAAACATGAAAGAATTGGGGTCTTCCTTTGTGAAGGGCCCACAGGAGGCCCCAGTAATGCTGCTGTGATTTGTTATTACCTGAGACTCCACGAGGAAACCTGAGCCCCAGAGCTGCACTGGTGCTGAACTGTGCTCTGAGCTGCTCTGGGACTGCAGAAGGAGGCTGCAGATTGTCAGACTGTGCAGTAAAAGTGAAATGTGTATTTACTCTGGCTGCCCACAGTAGCTGTCACTGCTGGCTGCTGGGAGTCAGACTTGCTCACCTTGTGCCCTTTTCATTTCTCAGGAGGGTTGGTGTTCTAAACAGGGACTGCATCAGCCCAGGAGGAGAGGGTTGTGGTACAAATGTATCTTGCTTTCAGTCAACTCCCACCCTCTGCTCAGCTCCATTTCTAACTAAGGAGATTCTCTCTGGTTTGGGGACAAGCATTTTGCTACCCTTGTTTCAAGATCACAGCAAAAATTAATGGTGGATGCCTTTTCCATCCATGTAACCCTGCCTTGGTGTCTTCTGGTGATCTTTCTGCATCTCTAAAATGAAGCTGGAAGTCAAACAACCTCATAACTCCTGTGCTGCATGTCTTAGGTTTGCCCTGCTCAGTGAACCAGTCTGCCCTGGGAAGGCAGATTATGCAAGGAAGGCACCAAGAATTTTTTTCCCACTGTTGTGTTTTCCTAGATTTCAATGAAAAAGGCTTCATGTTTTTGTCCTTGGCTATTGTCAGATGTTGCTGTGCTTGAGTCATATGCTAACATTTAAATTTCAAGCAGGATGTGACACAATATGCTCAAATTCTGTAACATTAGGAACTTTGCTTGCTGTGCTAGGCACTTGTCAGATAAGTCAGGGATCTTGTTTGGAAGAATGTATAATCCAGGATGCTAACATAATTCCTGGAAAACCTCAGATGTGAAAGAAATTCAGTCTCAGCTTAGTTACTGTGAAAGCCAGCTGTTCAGGCCCAGCACAGACTTCAGAAGTGGGGTTTTCAATGTAAATTGCATTACTGGGGGAGTACAAGAAAATCTGGAAATTGGAATTCACTTTCCTCTCATTGAAAAGATGAAGCAAGTACTTTCCTAGTCAAAGGGGATGTTTAAAGTTTTTAAACTTTATGTATTTTTTTTTTAAGTGCAGTTTTGCACAAAATTGTTTTTCATAATTTTCTTACACTTGGATCTTTCAAAGTAACTTGGAACTCATCAGGTTCTGGACAGCCACTGGAAACCCCTGATCCAAGGTCCAGAAGTGGTACTGCAAACACAGTCTGTGCTATTACAGCTTTAGGTATTACAAGTTCAAGACTTTTCTGCTCCTTCTGGGGTTTCCTGTGGCCTCCAGTCATGATGAGAATTGAAATCTATAAGGATCTCTTCAGGTTTTCTTTCAAATTGGAGAATGATAATTTTCACTGACTGCACTGACAGATCTTCCACAGAATGTCCCCAGTGTTCAACAACCAGAACAAATCCACTGAGCCCTAAAAACCTGCCCCAGTCTTTTGTCCCACCACAAGAAATGCCACTGCTTGTCTGTTCCAAACAATTGGAATTCCTGATGGAATTAAAAAACAAAAACAACTCAGTGGCTGATGTGCAGTGAGTGAGCAGAAAACACACTCCCAGTACCCATTGTAGCATCAAAACATCAGAATTGTGCAGACTGAGCTTGGAAATCCTGAGACGATCAATTCTCTGCTCTGCAGCAGCTGCAATCAGATCAGCTTGTCCTGGACCTTGTCCAGTTGAGTTCCAAATACACTCAAGGATGGAGATCCTGCAGGCTCTCTGGTCACCTTCTCCAGCATTTGGACACTCCTATGATTTAAAAAACAAACAAAAAGCCTTTACCTGTTAGAATTTTTTTAGAATTAGAATTTTAGAATTTTAGAATTTTTTTAGAATTAGAATTTTTTTTGTCTCCTGATGCTGATCCTTACTCCACATTTCTGACAAGCCTGGCTTTGTCCTTTCTGCCCCCTCCAAGGAGGTGATTAAAGGCAGGAATCCCCCTTATTGTCCCCTTCAGACCAGGTTACTTCTGTAACACCCGAGTGATTGACTCCTTAACCAGAGATCCTCTGACCTCTGAGTAACATTAATTAAACTCTTAGGATTTTAAACAAAATATCCCACCAAGTTCCCAGATAGTCCTTCTCCTCTCATGTGGCTCTTTTTAGTGCAATTTTAAATATTTTTTCTATGATTCTATGATTTCAATGCTTAGATATTATCCTCAGTGTTCAGTTCAGGATCACTCCTAATACAATTTACAAATATTTTTGAGCTCCCCTTTTTAAATTTTTGCCTACACACATTCAATTACACTTAGAAATTCATACTCAGCTCTGGAAGTCTTGGATATGTGGCAGTTTTGGGGTAGAATGTATCAATGCATAGTTAGAGACATAAGTTTAAGTACATGTATTTATAATGAAATATCCCAACAACTTTGGCTCAGTGCGTGGAGTCAGTCTCGAAATTTGTTTTGGTCTCTCCTGGCCTCTTTACAAACTTTTAACTGCAAAATAGATTGACAGGAACAAGTTTCTGTAAATCCATAGCACCACAGAATACTGCCTATATGCATTTTAACTTCTAACACTCACAGAGCCAAGGCTGCATGTCTTTGTTAAAATCAACACCTAAAATTCTTTATGGGCTTGTTTTTGTTACTCCAGTCTGAAATGGTTCAAATGGCAGTGCCCCTTCCCAAACAGACATTTCCTAAAGCAGTAATGTAAAAAATGAGCTAATGTAGATTATTTATGCTTGCTGGTTTTGGTTGTGATTTTGCTTCATTTTCTGTTTCTGGTCTGTCCATGATAGTGAGGTGCTCTTGCTATTCCCCATGGGGGTACAACTGGTTTCTAAAATGTGTGACAGCATCTCTCTGGCAGGGGAGAGGGAATGTGCAAGCCATGGCACACCTTGTGCTACACAAATGTTGTGCTCAAAGAAGGGAGCAAGAGTTTTCCTTCCCTGGAGGCTTGGAAAGGGACTTGACACCACCACCCCTCCACACTTCCATTGCTCATTTCCAGGTGCTCCTTTTCCAAAAGGCAGCTCCCATGCTTTTTTTAATTTAGCTTAAAATGATGCCAGCCAAGGCCATTCTGAACTCCATGGATGTTTCCCAAAGCCTCCTGGGATATTCCTAAAAGTGAGCTGCATCCTATGGTTTGAGGACTGGGAGAAAAGGGAGGGGAGCTGGAAAGAAACTCAGAGAACAGAAGGAAAATGCAGGAACTGAGAGCAAGAATGGTCCTTATGAGTCCTTATGAGTCCTTATGACTCAGGTGTTGGACTGGATCATTTGTAAGACCTCTGGCTGCCTGGCAAATTGCATAATTCCTTAGGTTCTCATCCTTACTTTATAGATGAGGAGTTAGTGGTCCCAACTTTCTCTTTGTACATCACATCTATTTAGCGAGCAACCCAGAATAAAAACGAGTAAAACATGGGAAACATTTTTTCCTTACAACTTCTGTCTTGGGGGCACACATTGTTTAAGAGCTCTGAGGTTCTCCCGGGAGATGCAGTGCTTATTAACAGCGTGACAAAAATACACTTCAGATAGGCTGGGCAGAAATGCCAGAGATTTTGAAACTGCATTCAGGCAA